GCGCCGTACATTTTTCACAATAAGACCAGAAGAGTAAATCCTGTACCAATGCAATAACATTTCATGAGCTATCCATTCAGGATACACCGAGATAACATAATCAGCGTGCTGTATCTCTCAGCTTTATGCTGAAAGGCGAAGGCAAGCGCACGGTCGACCGGGTTTACAAGGGCCTCACAACGGCCAGTTTGACAGCGACGCAGTATTTGTGTGGCTCGCCATCAAAGTCATAATAAGGAAGACCGAAATAGAGCTATGTGTATACATTAGCTTCACAACGGTTCGAGAGACTTCGCTGGCACGAGAATCATGCTTACCAATTTCTCGTCACCTGGGAACTGTCCCCTGCCGCACAAATACCATGGCTGCCTGTATGGGGGGTTCTCCCAGACAAGGTTGCCTGCAGAGTCGATATAGAAAGGGGTGGTTCGGCTTGTCGGAGGGAGAGTCTCAGGGCTGTGGAACCTAAGCTGGGCATAGTTGCAGCAGACACCAGACCTATAGGCCAGTCAATGTTAGTTTACAATCACAGGTTTTACTATCTCAATCTTCTCCAGATAACGCACGTTCCAAAATTGAGATTTCCGATAGTGGAACCAGCGCCAGGGTCGCCGCTCACTGGCAGGCGAATGAGCTTATTCTCCTCAAGCTTAGCGGCGAGAGGGTAAGAGTAACGAGGATTCTGGACACCCCTGTCGAGGTAAGTGTAGCCGGAGAAGTACCAGATAAACTGTAAATAGCCAAATATATGTCAGTATGTAGCATTTGCAGCAAGTACTTGTATAGTAAATAATAGTCATAGGGAAAGTAAAACTGAGCAACATACCTTTCCATCAATATCAGGGTAGGACGCGTTTAAGGCCATCACAGTGAAGGGGTCTGAGTTGCTTTGTTCTAGAGGCTTAGGGTAGGTCGCACCCCTGGCAAGGGCGCTGAACAAGCCCATGACCAAGGTAGCAAGAATCGTGGTTTTCATCACGATCACTTGTTATGGTAAGCTTGTAACGAACGGGGATCGATAGCGAATGCGAACGTCAACTTAACAGACGAGATGGAAGCTGATGATACTAAGGTATTAAAGTGAGAGGAAATATGGAATCGTGGAGGAACTTATCGTCGAGTTGCTGATGAACGCAAGCTCTTTGTAATGGGGAAACCTGATTTTATAAGACAGCCTGATCGAACGAATGCATCCTTTTCCTCCCTAAGTTCGGAATCAAATTACATGACTTTACATCATTCGAGTTCATTGTGCAGCTGCCGCCCACATTCTTTCCATGTGGATAATCGACACACTGTATTCTACTCATAGGGATCGCTCGGATGTCGGACCCGGTTCTAGCAAAATCCTTTAACGAGTTGTTGCAACTCTCCAGAGTTTAGCTTCCCTGGAGTTCTGTATCATTTTATCCAAAAACGTCATACACACGCGGCAGCCTCCAATTGTCTGGTAACACAGGACAGAGGCTCAACGGGTCGCGTGCCCAGCGTATCTTGATAAAGATTCAACGATGGCCTAAGTAGATCCTAAGTGCCTACTCCAGTTCAATACATATGAGCAACCAACAATTGGTCAAATTTTATTCGTCATTACGCATGGTGCCCGGACATATATGATAACATTTTGACCGCCGATCATAAGCATTCTTTGGCTGGTGCTGCAAAGACTTAGACTTCTAGTAGTGTGACATAGCTTCTAACTTGAATAGGCATTTTTGTCTTGGCATTTACGGCTTGGCAGTTTTACGACGACGGAACGACCCTACGCTTGGCGCTTTTCCACCCCCATTTCTCAAACAAAGAATGGAAACTACTAGTATAGATGAACTGAACAAACCTTTGGCATAAATTGTTGATTTGGTGGAGCTGATTTGGTTGAAAATTCTGAAGACGGACATGTCCGCTTTCCACTTCCAGCACCATACAGACCTTAATGTTCACACGCTACTATAAACAGCGGGGTTTCCAAGACTTTGATACGAGGCGATCTATCACGTGGCCTCCATATAACGTGACCCCGTATGGCTAGAACAATTCCGAGTTCTATTGCCTAAAATAGACAACTGAGGTAACACAAAGCTTCAGATATTGGTTGGTTTCTCACGACCTTTACTAGTACGAATCCTCCACATGTCTTTCATGAATGCTGCTGCTGAAGTTTTATTTTTACTTTTTTTTTTTAATATCAGTACTCGCGTGCCGCCCTGTGGGCTATGGCGGGGTGCTGTTGAGGTGTCGGGTTACGTAGACCATTCCTGTCCTAGATTGATGAAACTATATAATGACCGGGGTCACCCGGGTCGGGAAAAATTTTCGTTCCGGGCTGCGAAGGTGTGGAGGAGAGGGGAGGGGGGAGAGGTGGAGAGATATAGGGGAGCTTCCCTGATGCAGGAACCAGAAGAACCGTCCGGAAGTTTCTGGAATCAGGTTTTAGAAGTAGATAGAAATTTCTTTGTTAAGCCTGTCTCCGGCTTGCCCAGGGAACCTGCCATGGCTTGGCGCTGCAAGCGGGGTTACGTGATTTAAAAAAAAAAAAAAAAAAAAGGGACCGGGGTCAGACGTGATAGAGCTTGATTCGATATTATTGAACGGGCCGGTTTGTAGGTTATGCCTTGGGTGCGAAGTAATGGGAAATTAGATGCCGGTGGGGGAAACCCAAGGAGCACAGCTCTGTTGTTGCCCAGTAGACCTCCCCACGAACTTACAGCGGTCTTTGCTTCTAGCCAAACCGAAAGCTGTCCTTGCCACGGCGATCTGGTTGGCCTATACCCTCTCCCCCAGTCTCCAATTTTAGTGACATCGTAATCAGACTAGAGCCTGAGCGCGACTAGTATTCGGGAACGAGACTACGTTACCGCCATAGCCCGTAGGGCGGCATGCGGTTAATGACAAAAAAAAAAAAAAAAAAAAAAAGAGACTACTGTAATTCACCACAACACGACGTACACCACGTCCCGACGCACGTTTTACACCAAAACTGACTGCGCGCGACAACATATATCTCAACCACCAGAATAGGATTTGGCATCCAGCTTGGGGAGGGGCTTAAATGAAGGACTGATCTTCATATTCCGCACCTTAGCTTCTACAGAAATGATGTTTTGAAGGGGCTTATGATTCCATGAATTTCACACCACACATTGGCATTGGCTTGGCATATATTTTTCGCTGTAATACCACTAGTATTGAATTCCACTTATCACACCTGAATTAAATTTGATAAAAACAGTAGGGCACTTGATAATTAATATTTTACCTTATTCAAAGATGAGAGAAGTGCACCAAGAAAATTTCTGAAGAAGTGGTGGAGTTATTCACAAATTCATATTCTCGTAGAAATTGTATGCAATAAATGTATAGGAAAACTACCAGAAATGGTAATTTGATGTACGAACTAGGCATTAAACAACATCAAGCCAATCAAAGCACTAATTATCAAGAGACCTATTGGGGAGACTCTCTAGCCACAATTCTATAGCCATTATGGTGAGCGTTGAAGGGAAGTAGTGCATCCTACCCTCCAGTGTACTTTGTATGGGAATTCCATATAAATGCATGCCAAGACATCAATGAAAAACTCATGGTGCCATTAATCAACCACAATGTCTTTTCAAAGCAAGTAGAGGTATTAAAGGTGAAGAATAACCCTTTATTTATTTCCCCTGAAAAGCGCATACAAAATTCTATTCTGGTGGTTGAGATATATGTTATCGCGCGTGCTCAGTTTTGGTGTAAAACCTGCGTCGGGACGTGTGAAAGACAGTAAGTACTAATTTTCTACTGTTTCACACACCTAAGAGATATACTAGTATACTCGGCTGTTGAAAGCTGGGTGATATTGATGTGCAGTGACTCTCACGAAATGCCTATGCTGCCAACGCTCGGATTCTTTTTTTTTTTTAAAAAAAAAAAATTATATCATTACAGCTCGCATACCACCCTAAGGGCTACGGCGAGATCAAATACATAAGAGATAAAGAAAAATTTAAAATTGAAATTAGGCCCTCATCTCTCTACCCACCCCATGAGTTCCATCCAGTGGGTCCGGCCCGTCCTCCGTTCCCTTTGGTGGCGTTCTGACTGCGTCCTGCCCCTGGCTACCTTCTTTTCCAGACTTCACACTTGGACAAGATGTGTTCTGATGTTTCCTCTTCCATGCTGCACCACCGACATTCTGGCCGTCCGCCTTACCGATTTTAAACTTCCAGGCCCTCAGGCCCTTCCCTCCCAGTAGACCTCCCTGGGTACGTACCCGGCTACCAAACCGCCGAAGTGGTTGATAGCTCAGCTTCAACCGGTTGTTCCCTTCTGCCCACCCATATCACTGCCACATCCCACATGCCTCTAGCTACCCGGTTCTCCCATGTATCTCGACATACCCTACTTGGCCCATCTGGCATGGGCCTTCCCTCTGCCATATGAGATAGCCTTACGCTCGAATTCCAAACTTAAAAGTCTCGATATGAAAACTGAAGCCTGGTTAATTTGCCGCAACTCGCCATAGCCCACAGGGGCGGCATGCGAGTAATGATATACAAAAAGAAAAAAAATTGCCGCAATCTAGTGATAGACGTGCAACAAGCACCAGTGAAAAGGCTGCTTGGTGAGCACAAAAGCGGCGAAGCTGCTTACGGGACTAGCTGTGGATGGATACAACACCCGTGCGGCCAAACATTACAGTTCAGCAAAAATCTGTAGATTGCGGTGAGGCGAGGACATGCCCACGTCCTAGATCTATGGCACATGACCCTCTTCTCCTCTCGACCTTTGAGCCTTCATGTCCTGTGCAGGAGTACTTAAATAGATGCTGTGGAGGAAAAGCGACATCAAAATTAACGTTGCCATTGAAGACAATCATCGGCCACTTGTCAGAGGACTTGGTCCATCAAACCTTTTCCTCCGCAGTAGTGGGGCTCACAACCCATGATAACCCCCTCAATCTAAATCGAACAAATGGCTTCAGAACTATTTGTCGGTCGGTACGCATACAAAAAGAATAATGAGAAGAGTGAGGTTCGAACTCACGCGGGCGAACCCACTACGGATCGGGCTGTTCCTAAACGTAGCGCCATAACCACTCGGCCATCTTCCCAATTGCATTTGTTTATGCATCAGCCATTTTGAGATCGAATTCACATGGAAACCTGAATCTTATGCGCACAGGTTACGAGCCTAGCCCAGCTCCTAAATACTCCCGGGGCCTTGAGTTTGTCTATCAACTGTACTTAGTTCTAGTCCATGCATACTGAACTGCTAGGAAATTTACACTATTTTCTTAACTTGCTCTGAATTTAATAACTACCGACTGCATTACAGACAAACCTGTCATATTGGATAAGGCTCGGGCCGAGAAATCTTATGCAATATGATAGGTTATCCAGTATTACAGGTTGGAGTGCAGAGATCAATTTGGAGGTAAATACATGCAATAACAGATACCTATATGAATAAGAGAGTATACAGAAGCAAAATAAGCAGTAATGGAGGCCTGTTTCAAGAGACGCTTCAGGCTCAACAAAGTCATGTACTTTTCAAGCCGCAGAAGGCAAGTGCTGCTTGTTCGTCCTTCTGTGCTGTACTTCCTGTTGCTGATCAAACCACCTAATTGTGAACAATGAATTATGTACTTCATGGAGTGAGATTGGTTCTAGTTCCTTGAATTCATCTTCTTCAAGTTGATCCTGATCCATTGGGTCTACATCTGGGTCTGCCAGTTCTGGGCTATAGGTATCCATTATTTGAGAGGCATACAATAGTAGTCCTCTCAACTACAAATCTACCAAAGAGACAGAAGCATGACTAGGATAAATAACCCTATCTGTTTGTCAAATTAGTATACCGAAATGAAAATTTCTAAGCACAATGATCCTTGCTAGCATTGGCACTATCCAATATGACAGGTCCAGTTACCAGTAAATCCGGGAAAACCGGCCGGTGAAACTGTAATCCATCCAATAAATGAAAATATCCAATAATTCCACAGGCTCAAATTCGGGCTGACAAGGTTTATGCAATTTGACAGGTTATCCAGTGTGACAGGTATCCAATATGACAAGTTTGTCTGTAGTTGACAATGCACCTCACACTGTTTCGTCTCTAGCAGGCCCAAATTGTGAAAAGAAATGGCGACAATAGTCTGCCCCCGCATCTATACTACTGTAAGACAGTAAAACGAGTAATGAAAAAAAAAAAAAAAAAAAAAAAAAAAAAAAGACTGTAAAAGAAAACTTAGAAACAAAGGAGTACATAGTGAGGAACTGTGAAACTGTTTGGAGCGGACCACTGCCATGTACATTTACAGCTTGGACTAGTACACTTTTAATGCGCGGTATATATACCGCTGATTTTGTGCCAATACTTGCCCTACGTCCCTGATGATTGTAGTCACGTGAGAGGATGTCCCACTCGTACAACTAAACGTTTACTAGAACTCTGCAATAGGATCAGAAGGGGCAGAAACTCGAGAGACAGATAGCGGTGTTTTCTTCATGATAGCTATAGCTAAGTACTGCATAGCATGAAGAAAGTTTTATAGCTGACATAAAATGACACTTAAATATGTGCACACTAATTGTTCCTTTTTTTCTTTCTTAGTATCACGTAACTCCACTTGCCACTATTTGCTATGGCAGACCAATGATTGTTCCATAAATCTCTATAATATCAGAAATGTCAAGAATGAATATCTTCCAGACTCTCACACCTCTATAGTGGCATTATAGCACAGCTTAACATTACGTCTTGTACCTTTCTCACCTAGGTTGGGTGAGCCAGCAGTCCAGGAGTTCCTCCCCGCCGGCCCCTTTGGATTTATGGATAAGCACAGCTCCAGCCATGACTTGTGGTCTCAAAGTATGTAAAAACAGTCCTAGCCATGATTCGTAGTCCACTCTAGAATCTAGGATAGTTAGGTCCCAATACTCAGATGCGCCCGGGGTGGCGGTATTAGTCAAACTATCACTGGTGTCTTCTAATCTATTCCTAATAGTGATACAGGCACTCAATTGATCCAGTGCGACCTGCGGCTGCGTAACATATATCTGACCACATACCATACCGGAAAAAGAATTACCAAATGTGGTTACCCTAGTTACTCAACATTTCCCATTTTGCGCCGCGTTCATGCGAGCAAATGTTTCAAATTGATGAAGCAACAGCTGTGCTAAACATTCCTCATCTAGCAATGTGGTACCGCCGCGTATGCTGTGCCAGAAGTGAGTACTTCATCATCGAGTTGAAAGACTCCTCTGCCAATCAGAGCGGCATCGCCCCAACAGCCTGAGCGCCTCGCCCCACTCTTTGCCGCCAGCCCATGTTATGTACCTATTGCAGTCGTAACAAAAGTCTCATAGGCCAAGGTAGGACTCAGCTAAGCATCCTGTATGTTATAATATAGGTACATAGTTAGTGCAAGTTGCAGACCCTGTATGATGCCTTGCTATGCTGGCATTTCGTTGAGGCGGTCCTTAAACCGCCTTGTATGGTAGTTACTAGTATTGTCCATGTCCCTTAGTAACAAGGCTCTGCGCGAGCCGGAGAAGGGTCGATTCAGTTCGTTTACACAGGTCCACGCTGCCAGCGCTTGGCCCAAATTCTGAGAACAGTATACACACCCTTTTTTTTTTTTTTTTTTTTTTTTTTTTATAATATCACGTAACCCCGCTTGCAGCTGTTCGCCATGGCAGGGCAGTATACACACCCTGATGTCAACGCAATCGTAGTAAATATCAGCAGAGATATACTCCATTACTCCTATGCAAGTCGTATTCGCCAAGTACCGAAAGTTAGCCGGCTGAGCTATGCATGCGTACGCTGTGGGACAATGTTGTAGCATTGTTCCAGCTACAATATTTGTCGCTGCTGTGATAGCTACACCCTATAAATGGGCTAAAGCGGGGTAAATGCTTGTTTATGCATGGGCTGGAAAGCGTGAGTCCGGAGGAGATAACTTATAGCGCAACCAGAGGTTTGGTCTGGGCCGTTGCGAGGCGGCATAGCAATGTAAGCTAAGTGCAACCTTCCATGTTCGTTCATTCCCATGACATAATAGTTAGGCGTCTTTCATCTTTTTTTACTGAAACTGTCCAGGCAAACCACAACGTACTATATCCTGACTTACACAGGTTTTGGGGAATCGCTCGATGCCCACTTATGTTAATCTAGAAAGAGCTATAGATAGCTCTGCATAGCACGGGGATACGTCAGGTTCTTCATGCGCCGTGCGCGCGCCAAAGTAGATATCTTTATCGATAGCAAAGTATTCCTAGGATTCAGCTCACGGCACAGGGTAGCTTGATAATGGCGGTATAATCCAGTCGGACCCATCTTCCGGGTGTCCAGAAACTTGAGTCGTCACTTGCAGGCGTGCGTGAATTTAGCTTACAAGTATTCGAAGCTCATGGTAGCATGGTCGTCGATTTAACAAGGTCTGTAAAAGCGATGCACGTACCAATATAATCTGAGATATCCCTTCAGCAAAACTGCCCAAAGTACACAAAAACTGCTAATAAAAACTGGCGTCAGCCTGTGCAAGTGCTGTCGCTCTCCACTATTGATGTGTGGTTCTAAAAGCTAGTGCTAAGGCCGCGAATGGACTACTATTGATATGTCGATAGCAGTAAATTCTAGGTATAGTTGCTGTCTATCGCATTCAATGCTTTGAATGCATGGGCTGAGAGCTTTGAACTCTCCTCCTCTTGTATCGGTCTTAACAGAACCAAGGAACCTTATCTTCCTTAAAGGCTAGAAGTCGCGCGAGTACAGGTATACTATGTTCACTACGCTAGTTGAAATACGATTCAAACGTGGCCCTGTTGTTATGCATGACGCGGGGCACACATGGCAAGGCGAAGTGCATGAAAGCACTTGCATCAAGAATTTACGAGCGAACCCGTCAGAATGTCTGCAGGTGATCTGCAGAACCCATGGGTAGTACAAGTTAATTTGCGCAGGATCAGGGCTGTTATTCATGAACTCACCTTCGTTTCGCCATGAGGTACAATCGATATAATTAAAGATGTATAAATAATAAGGTCATGTGTGCATGACTGTTTTTATTATGATGCATAATTTACTCCGGATCCTAGTTATCGCTATAAATTTAGCTCATAGAAATTCGACGTCGGTTTTCCAAACAACCTTGAGCTTTCGAGCGCGGTTTACCGGTAGCTCTGTGCAACTTTATGTCGCCGTTAGCTTCTGTACTACCATTTTCTGCATCTTGGCAAGTTCCTGTGGTCGAATTCTGCCTAGCTGACAAGGAACTAGCACAACGAGAAATAACGCCGATTCCATCATCGTGTATGGTGTTCATAGAATAGGAGTCGAATACATTCTGCAGTTGATGAGAAAGCCTCGCGCTCATTCACTTATCGATAACCCTAACGAATGTACTTGTATTCTATTAATTAAAGGATCATTAACTTTTAGGCTTTGCGCAATTCATTTCGGAACAGTTCCGAGAACTTACCAGAATATGCAAACCCCAAGTAAATCAATCAGCCTCGTGATACTTTTTCACATGCTGTCCATTGCGCCAGGTTCGGAGTCCTAGCTACATGCAGCGTAATATACCTAAGGCGACGAAGCTCGTCAGGGATCCTATCATACCCTAACAGCGGGTACATAGAGAACTTTCTGCAAATTGTTTATAGTGCTGATAAGCTCAATGGTGCTTCAGACGCGGTAGTGATTACCAAATGAGGCCTTAACGTGTATTGTAGCTATCTGTAGGATAACTTATATGAGCGCTAATATGCACTTTTTTATATAGCCTATTGATTGTCACTTCTTTCGGTAATTCTGAGGACTAACGTTCCACTACTGCATACAGTCTTGGAACCATCATAGCCGCGCGGCTCCAACTGCTGGAAGAGGGTTTAAACAGGTGGGATCCTTACATGTCGCTCTTGTCAATTACCTCAAAGGAAGTTACACACATCAAACTCTGGAATACCAGTGCAAGTTTTTGATTGCATATAGTATTGCAGAAATGAAAAATGACCCAATTGGCGGTCCAAAGTAGTTAGTTGAGGTATATTGACTAACGGTAAACGCTTGAGATCAATATTGATGCTGACAGACTCCACTCCG